GGAAGTGGGGTCTCCCCGTCTAGAGAGGCTCTAGCCAGAGTCTTTCATTTGGAGGTCCCACCGAGATTTTTTTTGAGACCCCCCCGCCCAAGGACCACCGACTCCATCGGGAGGTAAGCTGGCCAGCAGAGTGTCTTTTGTTGTCTTCATTTCGTCACGTGTTTGCCTGTTCTATCTCTCAAAATTTGTACGATTCAGCTGAGTCGCTCCGTATTAGGTGGAAAGAGAAGAGGCTGACGAGCCTAAAACTTCTCTACCGCAACTCTGGAAGACGTTCCAAGAGTGTCTGGGGCCCGATTTTTCGGAGCCCGCCTGTCTGAGAACACGTCCCAATCTGGACTTTTCGGGGCGAAGCCCTTGTCCGAGGCCTACGTGGTTCTCCTGGGGGACGAGGGATCCGGACCCTCTTCGCAGTCCCCATCTGAAGTTTTGCTTTCGGTTTGGCGCCAGAGTCGTGCCGCGCGCTGCGTTTGTGTTACTGTCTGTCTATTGTTCGTCGGATTCGTGTTTGGTGTTAGTCTTTTTAAAACCATGGGACAGTCTCTAACTACCCCCTTAAGCCTCACTCTACAGCACTGGAAGGATACCCGAGACATCGCTCATAACCACTCTGTAGAGATCCGGAAGAAAAAATGGGACACCTTCTGCTCCTCAGAATGGCCGACATTTAATGTCGGCTGGCCAGGAGATGGCACCTTTAACCTAGACATTATTTTGCAGGTTAAGGCGAAAATCATGGATTCAGGGCCACACGGCCACCCGGACCAGATACCCTACATTGTTACTTGGGAAGCCCTGGCCCGGGAACCACCCTCATGGGTCAAGCCGTTTGTCACTCCCAGCCCCCCTGCCGTTCCCCCTGCAGTTCCCTCTGCCCCTGCCCTACCTCCTCCGTTGGTCCCCACACCCTCTAAGTCTGCCCTCTATCCAGCTGTAACAAAGCAGGCCCAAGGACGTAATCCGGAGGGCAAAAAGACGCCGACGACCCCGGTACTGCCAGCAGACGACGGCTCCTTGTTGGATCTGCTGACTGAAGAACCTCCCCCCTATAGGGACCCAGACCCCGACCAAGAGCCGGGAGAAGCCGCCGCGGCCGGACCTCAGGAGGAACCAGCTCCTTCCCCGGTGGCAGGGCGATTGAGAGGGCGCCGAGAGGCCCCTCCGGATTCCACATCTCAGGCTCTCCCATTACGAGCGGGGCCTAACGGCCAGCTCCAATACTGGCCTTTTTCCGCTTCGGATCTATATAACTGGAAAAATAATAATCCCCCTTTCTCTAGGGACCCTTCTAGACTCACCGCTTTAATCGAGTCCATTTTAGTAATCCACCAGCCCACCTGGGACGATTGTCAGCAGCTGTTACAGGCCCTCCTGACCACCGAGGAAAAGCAACGAGTCCTTTTGGAAGCCCGTAAGAACGTCCCGGGGGCTAACGGGCAGCCTACTCAGTTGCCAAACGAGATCAACGATGCCTTCCCCTTGGAGCGACCTGAATGGGACTTCGCCACGGAGGACGGTAGGAATCACTTACGTCTCTATCGCCAGTTGCTGATAGCGGGTCTCCATGGGGCAGCAAAGCGCCCCACTAATTTGGCTCAGGTTAAGTTAGTGACCCAAGGGTCAGAGGAGTCTCCCTCCGCCTTCCTCGAACGACTAAAGGAAGCCTATCGTGTGTACACCCCCTATGATCCGGAGGACCCTAATCAGGCTACCAATATGGCCATGTCCTTCATCTGGCAGTCTGCCCCGGATATCAGAAAAAAATTAGAGAGACTCGAAAACTTAAGGGAAAGTACGATCCAGGATTTGCTAAAGGAAGCGGAACGGATTTTCAATAAGAGAGAGACTCAAGAAGAGAGAGACGAAAGGTTAAAAAGAGAGGCAGAAGAGAGAGAAAACGTTAGAGACCGCAAGAGAAATAGGGAATTTAGCAAATTGCTGGCCACTGTAGTGACAGGGCAGAGGCAGAATAGACAGGACCTGGGAGACTGGAGGGGTCCTCGGATAGACAGAGATCAATGCGCCTACTGCAAGGGAAAAGGGCACTGGGTTCGAGACTGCCCAAAAAGACCAAAAGGGCCACGGAAGCCTAAGCCCCAGGCCACCCTGCTAAACCTGGAGGATTAGGGGAGTCGGGGTCAGGAGCCTCCCCCTGAACCCAGGATAACCCTTAATGTGGGGGGGCAACCCGTCACCTTCCTGGTGGACACCGGAGCCCAACATTCGGTGCTCACTACCACACCGGGACCCCTGACTGACAAATCAGCGTGGGTTCAAGGAGCCACCGGAGGGAAAAGATACCGTTGGACAACTGAAAGAAGAGTACAACTCGCCACCGGTAAGGTGACTCACTCTTTTTTACACGTTCCTGATTGCCCTTATCCTCTGTTGGGGAGAGATCTATTAATGAAACTCAGGGCACAAATCCACTTTGAAGGGACTAAGGCCCACATTACTGGGCCTCAGGGACAGCCTTTACATGTGTTAACCATAGATCTGGAGGACGAATACCGGCTTCACGAATCTGAAAGGCCTCGGCCGCAAGAAATAACTGTTTGGTTAGAAAAATTCCCTTTAACCTGGGCGGAAACAGGGGGAGTGGGTCTCGCAACCCACCAACCGCCCCTGGTAATCACTCTAAAGGCATCGGCAACTCCTGTTTCCATTAAGCAATACCCGATGTCGCATGAAGCTTACCAAGGAATTAGGCCCCACATTCGGAGGCTTTTAAATCAGGGCATCCTGGTGCCTTGTCAATCCCCCTGGAATACGCCTCTCCTTCCGGTCAAAAAGCCAGGGACAGGAGACTACCGCCCAGTACAGGACTTGAGAGAAGTCAATAAAAGGGTGGAGGATATACACCCTACAGTACCTAACCCGTACAATCTGTTGACTGGGCTTCCTCCGACGTACACCTGGTATACGGTATTAGACCTTAAGGATGCATTCTTCTGCTTGAGGCTCCACCCTCAGAGTCAGCCTATCTTTGCCTTCGAGTGGAAGGACCCAGAACTGGGAGTATCGGGTCAGCTCACTTGGACTAGACTCCCACAGGGGTTCAAAAACAGCCCCACCCTATTTGACGAGGCGTTGCACCGGGACCTGGCCGATTTTAGAGTTCACTACCCTGCTTTAATCTTGCTCCAATATGTTGATGACCTCCTCCTGGCTGCGGAAACTGAGGAAAAATGTCTGGAGGGAACAAAGGCCCTCTTGAGGACTTTAGGAACTCTAGGATACCGGGCCTCAGCCAAAAAGGCCCAATTATGCCAGAGGCGGGTTACATACCTGGGTTACCAAATCAGAGATGGACAAAGATGGTTGACAGAGGCGCGGAAACAGACAATCCTAAAAATTCCAGTGCCCAAAAGCCCGAAACAACTAAGAGAGTTCCTGGGTACGGCGGGGTTCTGTCGCCTCTGGATTCCAGGGTTCGCAGAAATGGCTGCGCCACTTTACCCACTCACCAAGCAAGGGACTCTCTTTACGTGGGGAGATGAGCAGCAGAGAGCCTATGCAGCCATAAAAGAGGCCCTGCTAACCTCCCCCGCGTTGGGACTTCCGGACTTAAACAAGCCCTTTGAGCTGTTTGTAGACGAAAAACAGGGATATGCTAAAGGAGTCCTGGCTCAAAAACTGGGACCATGGAGGCGTCCGATAGCCTACCTGTCCAAGAAACTTGACCCGGTAGCCTCGGGATGGCCACCCTGCCTGAGGATGGTGGCAGCAATTGCCCTCTTGATTAAAGACTCTGGCAAGCTGACTATGGGACAGCCAATAACAATTTTGGCTCCTCATGCAGTGGAAGCCCTGGTCAAACAACCTCCGGGCCGATGGCTTTCCAATGCCCGCATGACCCACTACCAGGCCCTACTACTGGACACTGATCGAGTATACTTTGGCCCTATAGTAGCTCTCAACCCGGCATCACTGCTTCCCCTACCGGAGGGTCCAGAAACTCATGACTGCCTCCAGATACTTGCAGAAGTACATGGTACCCGACCCGACCTGACCGACCAGCCCCTCCCCGACGCCGACTTCACCTGGTACACCGACGGGAGCAGCTTTCTGGACAACGGAGAGCGGAGAGCGGGGGCCGCAGTCACCACCGAGACTGAGGTAATTTGGGCTGAGGCCCTACCATCTGGCACTTCGGCACAGCGGGCTGAGCTCGTCGCCCTAACTCAGGCCCTCCGGATGGCAGAAGGTAAGAAGCTCAATGTTTATACCGATAGCCGCTATGCCTTTGCCACTGCTCACATCCATGGGGAAATATATCGGAGAAGAGGGTTGCTTACCTCGGAAGGAAAGCAGATCAAAAATAAAGCTGAAATATTGGCCCTGCTTAAGGCTCTGTTTTTACCCTCAAAACTGAGTATCATCCATTGCCCCGGCCACCAAAAGGGAGACAGCCGAGAAGCCAGGGGCAACCGCTTGGCGGACGCAACTGCCCGAGAAGCGGCGAGACAAGAAAGCTCAGATACCTCCCAGCTCCTGGCTATAGAGCCGGCCGAGGCAGAGGTCCCCTCCATTCAGGAACCTCCCTTCCACTATAGTGAGGAAGATCGGGACCTCCTAAAAGAAATGGGGGCCACTTACAATCCCATGCTAAGACTCTGGACTTTCAAAGAAAAACCTGTGTGGCCCCTGCAACAGACTCGTAACCTGATTAAATACCTCCACAGACTGACTCACCTTAGCTCCGGAAAAATAAAAACCCTCCTAGAAAGGGAGGAAAGCTCCCACTATTTGCTGGGGAGAGATAAAATTCTACAACAAGTGGCTAAAGAGTGCACAGCATGCGCCCAAGTAAATGCAGGACGCCATAGGATAGGCCCAGGGACCAGGATCCGGGGACATCGCCCCGGCACCCACTGGGAGATTGACTTCACAGAGGTAAAACCTGGACTATATGGATATCGGTTCTTGCTGGTATTTGTGGACACCTTCTCGGGATGGGTAGAAGCCTACCCCACCAAACATGAAACTGCCAACGTAGTCGCCAAAAAGCTTCTGGAAGAAATCTTCCCCAGGTATGGCATGCCCCAGGCGTTGGGCTCTGACAATGGTCCTGCCTTCATCTCCCAGGTAAGTCAGTTAGTGGCCAAACTTTTGGGGATCAATTGGAAATTACATTGTGCATACCGTCCCCAGAGCTCAGGGCAGGTAGAACGAATGAATAGAACTATCAAGGAGACCTTATCTAAATTAACGCTGGCAACTGGCTCTAGAGACTGGGTGGTCCTCCTTCCACTGGCCCTATATCGGGCCCGAAACACCCCGGGCCCCCATGGACTCACTCCTTTCGAGATCCTGTATGGAGCCCCACCACCGATCGTTAACTTCTTTGATCCCTGTATAGCTTCATTTGCTGATAGCCTCTCTCTAAAAGCCCATTTGCAGGCACTACAGATTGTCCAGAAAGAAGTCTGGGAACCCATCGCCGCTGCATACCAAGAACAACTGAACCGACCGGTGGTGCCACATCCGTTCCAGATTGGAGACACAGTTTGGGTCCGTCGACATCAAACTAGAAACTTGGAACCCCGCTGGAAAGGGCCCTATACTGTGTTGCTAACAACCCCGACGGCGCTCAAGGTCGACGGTATCACAGCGTGGGTACACGCCTCCCATGTCAAGGCGGCCCATCACGACGCAGAGCAAGATCAGACTCCAGCCTCCTCATGGAAACTCCGTCGCACCCAAAATCCACTAAAGATAAGACTCACCCGGGTTTGATATTCTTTCTCTTCCTGTTCACTCTGTCACACTCCAGTCCCCACATCCCTGTAAATTCGACTTGGGTCCTGCTAGATGGATTTGGTGTCCTTCTTAACAAAACTTCCAAAATAGCTCCCCCGTACACTTGGTTCCCTGAACTAAGTTTTGATCTAGCTCAGGCCATGCCACCCGGGTCCTACGCCAGGCGCATCGTAGACGACAAAAAAACACATTTCTACATGTGCCCTTCCCCGGGGAGTAGCCCCTGGCGACTGCAGAATTGTGGAACTAGGAACGACTTATATTGCGCCGCGTGGGGATGTGAGGACTTCGCCACCAGCTGGCTACCAACCTCAGTCGGACTCCTTCAGCTCACCAGGGACCCCAAGTATGATAGATGTGGGTATGCACTCAATGTTGATGACCCCCGTCCTGTACCCAAACCCTGTAATCAGCTCATCCTTACCTTTACCGATAAGGGCAAAAAGTATAAAGAGGGATGGTTGCGTGGGAAAGAATTCGGGTTGCGCCTCTGGAAAACAGGCCGCGTAGGAGGAATAATGCGCCTCCAGCTGACTCTTGATAAACCCAAGGTGCCTGTCGGGCCTAACTCGGTGTTACCAAACTTAAGAGTCCCCTCCTCCCAACCTAAAAAATTACCCATTCCGCCTACAACCATGCCCCCTAACAAAACTCCAGGCCCAGTCAGTCTAGGCATTCCCACACCACGATTTCTCCGATCGAGTACAGGTGATAGACTGTTTGGTCTAATACAGGGAGCCTTCCAGACGCTTAATTATACTGATCCTAGCAAAACCCGAGAATGCTGGCTATGCCTGGTCCCAACTCCCCCTTACTACGAAGGGGTTGCAATAACGGGGAACTTTGTAAATTACACCACACCCCCAACATATTGTACTTCGACCACCCAACATAGGCTAACTCTATCTGAAGTGTCTGGCCGGGGAACCTGCATCGGGTCAGTCCCCAAAACCCACCAAAAAATTTGCAACTCAACCTCCAGGATCCACCCGGGCTCCTATTACCTAACGGGCCCCAATGGGACCTATTGGGCTTGCAGCTCCGGCTTAGCACCCTGCGTATCTGCACTAATTCTCAACCAGAACTCTGACTTTTGTGTCCTCATTGAGCTCTGGCCTAAAGTTGTCTACCATGAACCTAAATACGTCTACGAACATTTTGAGGGGATCACCCGGTATTCTAGGGAGCCAGTATCTTTGACTTTGGCCTTAATACTAGGGGGACTCACAGTCGGGGGTATCACAGCAGGAATAGGGACTGGTTCTGCTGCCCTGGTAGAAACTACTCAGTTCCAACAACTACAACAGGCCATGCATACCGACTTGCAAGCGTTAGAAGAATCAGTCAGTGCTCTGGAAAAATCCTTGACCTCCCTTTCAGAAGTAGTCTTACAGAATAGAAGGGGGCTAGATATCCTCTTCTTACAAGAAGGAGGACTATGTGCAACTTTAAAGGAAGAATGCTGCTTTTATGCTGACCATACTGGATTGGTAAGGGATAACATGGCTAAACTCAGAGAAAGACTCAGACAGAGACAGCAATTCTTTGAGTCAGGACAAAGCTGGTACGAGAGATGGTTTAGCCGGTCCCCCTGGATTACCACCCTGATCTCCTCCATTATGGGTCCCTTAATCATAATTCTCCTGATTCTACTAATTGGGCCTTGTATCCTAAATCGGCTAGTTCAGTTTATAAAGGACCGGCTCTCCGTCATACAGACGTTAGTGCTAACCCAGCAGTACCATCAACTCAAGCAGTTAGAGACAGAGATTGACTCACTAGACCCATAGAATGAAGGATTCCATTCTAGGCTAGAAGAGAAATGGGGGAATGAAAAAATAAAAAGCCCTAGCATAATGCTGGCAACACTATTTTACAAGCAATACAGGGCCAGAGGCAGGGCAGGACAGGTGTCCAACCACAAGGTATCTGCGGTTGGGCGCCTGAAACAATCGGGACACCTAAGATAAGAGCCGGGAGTCTTTCCGCCTTCTCTAAACCGGCTACGTGACTTAGCCCACATCTGCTTTCCCGCCTTCCCTGCTCCAAATACGTAACCTAACTATGGCCTTGTTCAAATCCCCCAATCAGATCCCCGTAACTATGCTTCTCGCTTCTGTAAATGTGCTTCTTGCTCCCTAACCCTATAAAAACCCGTCACCCCAACCGAGGGGCGCGCAAGTCTTCCGAAAGGCTTTGTCGCCCCGGGTACCCGCGAATCGAAATAAACCTCTTGCGGCTTGCATCCGAAGGCTGGTCTCGCTGATTCTTGGGAAGTGGGGTCTCCCCGTCTAGAGAGGCTCTAGCCAGAGTCTTTCA